GGCGGCGGCGGCGGGGTCCCCCGGGCCGGGGCAGCAGCTGCTGGCGGCCTGGAATACCGTGAGCACCGGGCTGGTGCCGCCGACCGCGCTGGGACTGGTGAGGCCTGAGCGCGGTTCCCGCGGCCCGGCGCCCTTCGTTGGGGCGTGCACCCTCAGGTTCCTCCGGCTCCGTGCGTCGCCCGCCTCAGTCCCGCCTCGTTCGGCCCCCGCGGCAGCCCTCCCCTCGTGTCGGCCCCGCGTCCCTGCGCTCCGGATGAGGAGCAGCGGGGTTCCGCGGCCTCCCCTCCGGTCCGGCCCTTCCCGCCCTCCTCACCTCTGCGCCGCGCGCCCTTTCCTCACGGTTTCCTGCACCCCAGGCGTCCTCCCGGACCAGCGGGGCGGTCCCGCCGAAGGAGGAGGAGCTGCGGGCGGCGGTGGAAGTTCTGAGGGGCCACGGCCTGCACTCGGTCCTGGAGGAGTGGTTCGTGGAGGTGCTGCAGAGCGACCTGCAGGCCAACATCTCCCTGGAGTTCTGGAACGCCATCTCCCAGCGCGAGAACTGTGCGGACGAGCCCCAGTGCCTTCTGCTGCTCCTGGACGCTTTCGGCCTGCTGGAGAGCCGCCTGGATCCCTACCTGCGCAGCCTGGAGCTCCTGGAGAAATGGACTCGCCTGGGCTTGCTGATGGGCACTGGCGCCCAGGGGCTGCGGGAGAAGGTGCACACCACGGTGCGGGGTGTGCTGTTCTTCTCCACTCCCAGAGCCTTCCAGGAGATGGTCCAGCGCCTCTATGGCCGCTTCTTGAGGGTCTACATGCAGAGTAAGAGGAAGGGGGAAGGGGGCACAGATCCGGAACTGGAGGGGGACTTGGACAGCAGGTACGCCCGCCGCCGGTACTACCGGCTCCTGCAGAGCCCACTGTGTGCGGGATGTGGCAGTGACAAGCAGCAGTGCTGGTGCCGCCAAGCGCTGGAGCGGTTCCACCAGCTCAGCCAGGTCCTGTGAGTACTCACGCCCACGTGGCCGTGCCCCTGTTCGTCCGGCGTCCCACCTGCTCCCCAGGGTCCAGCTGGCCTCTGCGGAGAGCTGGTGAGCTGGCCGGGGTCTCTACCTGTCCTAATAGCCGTGGCCATGACAGAGGGGTCCCCGGGATTCTTGTGCTGTGAGTTAACACCTTTTGTCCTGGACACAAGCTTGTCTGTCACTCACACTAGCCCAGGGTCTCGTGCTTTGCTCGCGCTAAGATCCTTCCTGATTCCGTTTCCTGGGCCGTGCGGCATTCGGCTGTGCCTTCTGCAGCCTCCGGGGAGAGCGGCGTTCACCCCGGAATTGCAAAGGGCGGGCGTGCTGTTTCTGCTCTCTAGGATGAGTTGGAGGTTAGGCCAGAGTGCTGGGCAAGCAGACCCCTCTCCGGCTTCTAAAGAGGGGAGGATTCTGTTGTGTCGTCGTTGGCGCCAGAGCCAGGTCTTCCTGTGCTGGCTGTCTGCTCTCCTCGGCCTCTACGACAGTTTTGCCACGTCAAGTGCTGTGGCAGCAGTGCAGCTGTTAGGGAGAGAGTCTTGTAGCTGAACTTAGGGAGCAGTCCCATTGCCAGCAGCGTCAAGGCGACCTGAACGGTCTCTCCTGGGACAGATGAGGCCCGGGAAGGGGGAGGCGGGCGAGCACAGGACCCCCTGGACCCTGCGCGCTTCGTTGGGGCTGGCTCCCTCCTTCAGCCCAGGTGACGGTTACACAGAAACGTCGCCTTACATCTTCTCCTGCGTCCCTTTGCCATTGCAGACCAGGGTTTGCATTGGAAGGCGGCAGCAGTGGCGTCTCTACGTACATGGCCAGGGTGAAGGGGTACAGCCGTCGTTTCAGAGCCGCCTCTAGGAGACGAGGCTTTGGCTCCTGAGAGCCACACATGCTGCTCACACAGCAAAGCCCAGTGTCCCAACCCAGGCAGAGAGGCCAGCTGGGGACGGCGGGCAGTGCCTTGCCATAGTCCATCCTCCCAGTACCTTTCCCTCGAGGCCCTGGGCGCAGTGTGCCTCTGTGGGGAGCCGCGGGGGGCTGCGCTGGGCGGGGCTGGGGCGTGCTCCTCAGGAGGCTCTCCCCCAGACACAGGCTCAGTCTGCTGGAGCGCGTCAGTGCCGAGGCCGTGACCACCACCCTGCACCAGGTCACCCGGGAGAGGATGGAGGACCGCTGCCGGGGCGAGTACGAGCGCTCCTTCCTGCGCGAGTTCCACAAGGTGAGGACGGCCCCCTCGGGCCGTGTCCCCTGGGCACTGGGGAGTACGTTTCTGGCAGGCCTGACGTCCTGGCTTTAGAAGTGGCCAGAATGTGGAGGCCTGGGTGGAGCGGGATCTCAGCGGTGGTTCCAGATGTCTTGGTGCTGGGTGGAAGCCGGTCCTTAAGGGCCCTCTTCCCTGGTGACAGCAAGAAATAGCCCTGACACGCTCAGCACGGTCTGTGTGGGATCACGGGGCTGGAGGCCATGCCGAGCTCTGGTGCGTCACAGTGAGGGGCCTCGGGGCGCCCATGCTGTTGGGGTGTGGCTCAGGCTTTGCTCTGGACTCCCCAGGGTCACGGATGAGCTGGGCCCGACCGTGGGGCCGCCCAACCGCTTGCCCTTCCCGCGGGTCCTCCCCGTTTTCTAGCGCCTGCTTCCTGAGGGTGGAGACGCTGCCGTGGGCGTTCAAAGCGAGTGTCCCCACAGCAGTGCTCTGGAGTGGGCGGGGGCCCAGAGGCCGGTTTGGGGTGGCCGTGCACCTCCAGGTTGCAAGGTGTCCAGACGGTCTGGGGTGGGGACGTGCCCGTCCGTGAGCCCGTGTGGCGCTCTCTTAGTAGGTTTACGTGCACGTGCTCTAGAAATGTCCTCCCTGTCCTCTGAGTTGTCGGCACGAGGGCTCGTCACTTGTGCAGTCCCCGGGGTGTGTCTGTCTTTGGGGAGCGGTGGGGGGGGCGAGCACAGGCTCCGTGCCCTACGTCAGGCTTCTGTTGCTGTGTGAGGTTCACAGGGGGCATCGATGGAGGGCCTGGCACGCCCCTTTGGGCCCATCGTCCTACGGACGCAGCTGTGCCTCTGGCCTCTGGAGCAGGTGGCCTTGGGACTCCCAGGGCCCAGGCAACAGGGTGGTAGCGTGCAGCCCCTCCCCCGCTCCGTTCTAGGTCAGACTGGAGCTCAGCCCTGCCCCCTACACCTGTGTTCTCCCGACAGTGGATCGAGAGGGTGGTCGGCTGGCTGGGCAAGGTGTTCCTGCAGGACGGCCCCGCCAGGCCCGCGTCCCCCGAGGCCAGCAGCACGCTGCGGCGCTGGCGCTGCCACGTGCAGAGGTTCTTCTATCGCGTGTACGCCAGCCTGCGCATCGAGGAGCTCTTCAGCATCATCCGAGGTGGCTGCCCGCTGGCCCTCCTCCCTGGGCTGTGCTGTCCTGAGCGGAGCTGGGCCCCTCCCCCAGTGTCTGAATCAGCGCAGCTGTGGGGGGTGCCGGACGGCGCCCCTGAGTGTCCGCCCCTGCCCCCTCAGCTTCATGTCCCTGCTCTGGACTGGCCCCTTGGGCATCGCTGTCTGCCCACCCTGTAGGGCGGTTGTGGTCAGGCACGTGGACAGGAAAAGTATCAGGGCAACGGCTGCTGCCCTCCGGTGCTGCCAGCTGCGGGCTCCCTCGCATGTCCCGGCTGTGCCCGTGTGAGGACGGCCTTCTCCCTGCAGACTTCCCAGACTCCCGGCCGGCCGTCGAGGACCTTAAGTACTGCCTGGAGAGGACCGACCAGAGGCAGCAGCTGCTGGTGTCCCTGAAGGCCGCCTTGGAGACGCGGCTCCTCCACCCAGGTCCGGTGGCCACGCACCGTGCTCCCTTGGGGCCCAGATCCAGCCCACTCGCAGGTCTGGGTGGAGTGGGTTGAGGGTTGAGAAGCGTGCTGTGGCCTTGGGGTTTGGGGGCCTCTGCTCCACCCTCTGTAGGGCACTGGGGGAACTCACGGGTTTGGCCTGGGGGTGGGGTGCTGCGCAGGCACCTGACAAAGACGCTGGCTGAGGAGAGGGCTTGTTCTGGAGGAGGCCCAGAGTGGGTGGAGGAGGGGAGAGGGAGCAGCTCCCTGCAGGTCACACTGGTGTCCTGGGGAGTGAGGTCTCAGGGGCACCTGAGGACCACCTGGCCAGCACGTGGCTGCCTCCGTGACTGTGTTGTCCCGGGCGCTGCCGTCACGGCCGGCCTCCTCTCTCGGCTGTAGGTGTCAACACATGTGATATCATCACTCTCTACATCTCTGCCATCAAGGCACTGCGCGTCCTGGATCCCTCCATGGTCATCCTGGAGGTGGCTTGTGAGCCCATTCGCCGATACCTGAGGTGCGTGTCGCAGGCGGCTCCCCAGCCACTCAGCCGCGGTGCTGGTCTCCTAGCTCCGCTCGTGCAGCCAAGCTCCCATGAGTCCTAGTGGGACACCAGGGTTGCTCTGTCCCTCCTACTAGGCTGAGTGGCCTGGCCTGGACGGGCGACTTTCTCTTGCTGGTGCTGGCCTCTGTCCTTGCTGCTCAGTGTCACCACACCCCTGCCCCCTCCCTGTCCTGGCACAGTGGCACCCTCGCTCAGCTAGGCCTCAGCTAGGCCGACAGGGTGGCACAGGGCCCCGTGTTCAGCGTTTTCTGTGACAGGAGTGGAGGCTGCATTGGAGAGCGGATTGGAGCCAGCACAGTGGCACAGTTGTCCTCAGTCCCTTGGGGGCAGTGGGGGCTGCAGGCTGGGGCTGCAGGGGCACCTGGAGCTGCGCTGACTCGCACTGGCCTCCCCTCAGCCACGCGCAGCCTGGCCCTGGGTCCTTCCGGTCATTGCGGTTCCTGCTGCTCCCCGGAAGTGGTGGTGGTCAGCTTCTCTTTCTCCTCCTTTTTTGAGGGAAAGCTCGACGGGCCTGTTTTGGGCCTGTGGCCGAGGCACTGGCTCCTGGGGGGGGCCTGGGGTCATGAGGTCAACCGGGTGGGCACTGAGACCCACATCACAGGACTCGGGAGGACACGGTGCGGCAGATCGTGGCCGGGCTGACGGGGGACTCGGACGGGACGGGGGACTTGGCTGTCGAGCTGTCCAAGACAGACCCAGCGAGCCTGGAGACCGGCCAGGACAGCGAGGATGACTCCGGCGAGCCCGAGGACTGGGTCCCCGACCCCGTGGACGCCGACCCAGGTCTGCGCTGCCAGCCCCACCGGGCTCTGCACTGGAGGGTCCAGCCGGTGGACACTCTGGTCTCCCAGTGGTCGCCCCATGTGCCCTGGGGCTTGAGGGGGTCAGGGGTCAGAGGTCAGCATCCCACCTTCCCACCTCCTAGAGTGCTTCAGCTGGCTAGGGCGGGCTGTCGTGTGCCGGTCCCTCCGGGCCTGTAAGAGGGCAGCCTGGGCACTCCTGACCCACTCGGCACCCAGCCCCAGGCCCCGTGGGCTCAGCAGGTGGCACAGGCGCCGCCTCTGTCCCCACGAGGTGCCAATGGCACTCTTCTCGGTGCTGTGCAGGCAAGTCCAGCTCCAAGCGGCGCTCCTCAGACATCATCAGCCTGCTGGTCAGCATCTACGGCAGCAAGGACCTGTTCATCAACGAGTACCGCTCGCTGCTGGCTGACCGCTTGCTACACCAGTTCAGCTTCAGCCCCGAGCGGTGAGGCTGGGCTCCAGGCCACAGCGCCACTCTCTGAGGCCACCCTTTGGGCCCCAGTGTGCGTCTGCCAGCTGGGTCCCCTCAGGCCATACAGGCACTGCCTTGTGCCCCCTGCTGCCCGGGGAGGCCCAGGAATGGGGGGAAGCAGGTCCCTGGACTCTGGGCCTCGGCTGGGACAGAGCTGGCCCAGGACCCTGACGGCCGGAACTGTGCTTCCTGCCACCTGCTGGCCAGGGGGCGGCCCTGCATGGGGACTGCGGGCGCTCTGCCCCAGGGGCCTGCGACTCGCTCCTCCCCGCAGGGAGATCCGCAACGTGGAGCTGCTGAAGCTGCGCTTCGGAGAGGCCCCGATGCACTTCTGCGAGGTCATGCTGAAGGTGGGCACCGCCAGCCCTGCCCCGCCCCGCACAGCACGCCCCGCACAGCACGCCCTGGCCGTCGCCTGACCCTGGCTTCTCCCCCAGGATATGGCAGACTCCCGCCGCATCAACGCCAACATCCGTGAGGAGGACGAGAAGCGGCCCGCGGATGAGCAGCCGCCGTTTGGGGTCTACGCCGTCATCCTGTCCAGCGAGTTCTGGCCCCCCTTCAAGGACGAGAAGCTGGAGGTCCCCGAGGACATCAGGGAAGCCCTGGAGGTCTACTGCAAGAAGTATGAGAAGCTGAAGGTACTGCCACCTCCCTGCGGAACGACCGCACTGCTCAGGCTAAGCCCGGCGGCACTCGAGCAGCTGGGGGTGGTTCACATGCAGGCCCCTCCTGGCGTCCTGTGGGGTCTCCACACTGGGACGGAGGGTCCACCTGTACTCTGCTCCCCCGGCACGTGCGCATGTCCCTGTGTCACCTGTGCTGTCCTCACAGCCCTGACCCTCTGGGCTTTCTCTTCCACTGTCCACTCTCTGGCCTCCCAGAACCAGGGCCTGGGGGGTGGCGTTGGCCCCAGGGAGTCAGGCTGCGTCTGCTCTGGGCACATGCCCAGGAGCTGCCTCTGGGAAGTCTGCAGGTTGCTTTGGAGGCGTTTGACCTCGGTGACCCTACCCTGCCTTGCCCCGGCTGACACCCCTGGAAGCTGTTTCCCTGAACTCAGGGTTCTGGGGACCAGGACTGTTCTGCCCACTGTCTGGTCCCTGGGGGTGTGGGGCTGGGCGAGGAGGAGACAGACAGGAGGTGCAGACGGGCCGGGTTAGCCTGAGCGCCAAGTCAGGAGATGCTTCAGGTGGCAGGGGGTGGTGGGTGGAGCCTGTGGTGGGCAGGGCTTGGTGGCACAGAGGACGCTTCCTTTCAGGTGACGGTTTAGTGGAGACTTGGCAGGAGAAAGGAGAGAGTTGTGATACCTGCCACAGGTTTCTGGGACAGGTAGAGAAGTGGGTTCTGGGGCTGATGAGTGGGTCGAGAGGCCTGCGAGGCCGTGGTGTAGCCCAGCGAGCACTTGGCCTCAGGGGACGCCGGGCACCCAAGCTGAGGACGAGTAGAGCAGGTGTCTGGGGTGTAGACCCTGAGCCCTGGGAGCACCTGGGCCTCAGACACAGAGGGCACCAGGGCTCCCGGAACCTCCACATGCAGCCCCAGGTGGGGGCAGGTGGGGGCAGGTGGGCCTGGGTTGGGGACCAAGCAGGAGGGCTGGTGGCTCCCCCAGGGCTCTGCCTGAATTGCTGTTGGGCCAGGAGCCTAGTTCCCGAGGGACGAGGGCTTGGTGTTGGCCAGCCAGTCCTCAGAGGGGCTTTCCTTCCAGAGGCGATGCGGGCAGGGGCCCTGGAGGCCAGGAGGGGCCGTGTTCGGGGCAGCCCTGCATGGGGCAGTGTGCCGTCTGTGTGGCCCCCACTGGGCTGCTGGCCGCCGCATGCTTCCTGCTAGTGCCAGGCCACACCTCGCACCCACCTCTCCCTGGTCGAGGGCATCTGTATCTGTGTGCTGGGCGCCTTGCCCCATTCCTCCTGGCTGCCCTGGAGGTGAGCGGTCTTCCTCGCTGCTCAGGTCTGTGTGCCTGATGTTAAGGCCACGTGTTGGGGCACTGTTTCTGAACTCCCACTGGACAGTGGAGTGGCTGGAGCGGGCCCCAAGGCTGCACCGAGGGGATAGGCCTGTGGCTGTGGCCCCTGGCTCCCACCAGCTGAGTTCCTGGCCCCAGGACTACTGGACATGGGCGGGTGGCCTCACAGCCCATGCTGCCCTGGCCTGTGCTGTCTGCGCTGGGCCTTGCCCTTGCCCTGCTGCGGTAGGTGCCAGCCGTGGAGGCCATGGCCTTGGAGCCCGAGAGCCAGGCCGCGGCTCTGCTGCTCGCCGCCTCAGTGTCCACTTTGTTTCTGCGAACGGGGTTTCGTGCTGCCTCCCCCTTAGGAGATGCGGAGAGGGCGGAAGGGCTCAGCAGCGCTTGGCCCAGAGTGGCTGAGTGAGGAGTCTGCAGAGGAGGGCTTAGCGCCAGCGTTTACTGTCTCAGCTGCAAGTCCAAAATCGAGGTGTTGTAGGGCTGTGCTCCCTCCGAGGGCTCCAGGGGAGGGTCCTTCCTGCCTCCCGTAGCTTCTCGTGGCTCCCAGGCATCCTGGGCTGGTAGGCGCGCCCTTCCAACCTCTGCCTCTGTCACGTGGCTTCCGTCCAAACGTCTCCATCCAAACGTCCCTCCTACAAGGTCGCCAGGCATGTTGGATTGGGAGCTGACTCTACTCCGGTGTGATCTCTTCTTAACTATGTCTAATGACCTGACTTCTGAATACAGCCCGCCTCGGAGGTGTTGGGCGTGAGGGGTAACGTCTCTTGGGAGATCACGATTCAGCTTGTAAGAGTCCGCCTTCCGGACCCCCGGACTCATGTCCTTCCCACGCAAAACACATTCAGTCAATTCCAACGTTTCCAAACGTCTTAACCCTTCCGGCATCAACGCTGAGTTCAAAATCTCTGCTAAATATCAACTCAGAAGTCCCAAATCTCCAATGAAAAAAAGTCCCAAACCTCAGCATCTAAAGAGCATCGAGTCAGGTGAGGGTGAGATGTGGGTCTGATGCATCCTGGGGCACGAGCCCTTCGGCTCTGAGCCTGTGGAACCAGACACTAGTTGTCTTTCAAGCAGATAGCTCTGAGAAGGGTATCGGGCAGACACCCCGGCAAGGCTGAGACCCCAGCAGGAAGCCCCACCCGATCGTGAGGCCTGAGGAGGACCTCGCCTGGCGCTGCCTTCTTGGCCTGCTTCGGTGGCCGCACGTGCGGGCCAGGGCTCCACGCCAAGGTCCTGCCTGCAGACTCCCACTCCCATGTGGCCGTCCCCTGTGCGGCCAGGCCGGCAGCGTGTCCAGTAGTAAAAAATTATCAAAAGCAGTGTCGGCCTCCACACACAGCGTCCAGGCCACGAGGCACAGGCCCTCCCGTCCACTCCGGACAAGCCATCTCTGTGCTGGCCTCAAAGAGTGGCTGGCCCCACTGTCACCCAGCTCCTCTCTTTGGCTACACTCTTGGCTTTGTCTCCAAAGCACAGAGACATGTCCAGATTACCCAGTGTTGGGTCTTCGCAGCAGGAGAAAGGTCGCACCTCCTGTTCTGCTCGGAAATCTCAGCTAAACGTCCAAGGTCATCACTTGTAGGTTCTGCTTGTCCCCCGACAGAACCCAGCTCATCGGGGTCTTGGCCATCTTATCACAAGGATTGCCTTTTGTCCACGTTCCTGAGTGAGGAGTGCCACAAAGGAGGGCTTAGAACCAGCGTTTCCACAGACCTCACCAGAATGGCCTTTACCGTCTGCGTTTCTAGCACCTGTCTCTTCGAGGCCTTCCAGGCTTTTCTGAGCGTGCAGCTCAAAGCTCCCAACCTCTGTTCATCACCCAGCTCTGTGGCCACTCCCACATTTCAGGTGTCACAGCAGCATCCCTTCCTGGAACCAGAGTCTGCTTCCTATGACTGCCGTAACCGAGCACCGCAGACCAGGGTCTTGTCTCAGTTCTGGAGGCCGGAGCCTGAGCTCGCCGTCAGCAGGGCCCTGACCCCTCTGCGAGCTGGAGGAGGGCCTTCCCGCCTCCGGCGTCCAGTGCCGGTCCACCCCGGCGCTGCTTGTGGCCGCGTCCCCGCAGTCCCTGCCCCCGTCTCCATGGGGCTTCTTCCTGTGTCCACCCTCACTGTGTGTGTGTCTCTTCTGAGGACCCTGGTTGCGTCGCATCACATCAGGGCCCGCTCTCCTCCAGGCCGACCTCTTAGCCGGGTCTGCCAGGGCAGGTCACGCTCGGAGTTTCTGGGAGTGAAGACATGGTCATTTTTTCCTCGCTGTTAGGGCCTCACTGTCTGGTTGTGGTGGCTGTGGGTGGGAACCGGTGCCCCACTGTACTCACCCTGCTGCCGCCCACCCACCGCTGCACTGGGGGAGCAGGTCAGGGGGCTCTGCCCTCACCCAGTGCCAGGTAGCGGAGCCACGTTCACCTGGCCTGCTGGGCAGCCTGTGCTGACCCTAGCCCTCCCCAGGCCATGCGGACCCTCAGCTGGAAGCACACCCTGGGCCTGGTGACCATGGATGTGGAGCTGGCTGACCGCACCCTGTCTGTGGCAGTGACGCCAGTGCAAGCAGTGGTCTTGCTGTATTTCCAGGACCAAGGTGAGCCCACTGGCCCCAGCCACAGTCCCGGGCTGTGCGGGGCACTGCTGCCGTGCGTGCCGCAGGGCTGGGCAGGACCGGGCCGCCCCTCCCATCCCCTTCCCCAAGGGGCCTGGCGGGCTGATGAGGCAGGGGGCGGCGCAGCCTGGTCCAGTTGGCTTAGTGTGCCCGCCGCCCACACAGCCAGCTGGACCCTGGAGGAGCTGAGCAAGGTGGTGAAGATGCCGGTGGCGCTGCTGCGGCGGCGGATGTCGGTGTGGCTGCAGCAGGGCGTGCTGCGGGAGGAGCCTGCCGGCACCTTCTCCGTGGTGGAGGAGGAGCGGCCGCAGGACCGCGACAGCATGGTCCTCATCGACAGCGATGACGAGAGCGACTCGGGCATGGCCTCCCAGGCCGACCAGAAGGAGGAGGAGCTGCTGGTGCGCCCATGGGGCCAGGGAATGCGGGGCTTGGGGTGGCAGCGGAGGCGGCCTGACTGACCATGCGGCTGTCCCCCCAGCTCTTCTGGACGTACATCCAGGCCATGCTGACCAACCTGGAGAGCCTGTCGCTGGAGCGCATCTACAGCATGCTGCGCATGTTCGTGGTGACCGGCCCCGCGCTGGCCGAGATCGACTTGCAGGAGCTGCAGGGCTTCCTGCAGAAGAAGGTGCGCGACCAGCAGCTCATCTATGCGGCCGGCGTCTACCGCCTGCCCAGGAACTGCAGCTGAAGGCCGCGGCCCCGCAGGGCAAGGCCTCAGGCGCCCCCACGCCCCTGCCCGCCCCCCAGCCCCGTGCCCCTGCCCGCCCCCCAGCCCTGTGCCCCTGCCCGCCTCCCAGAATGCAGAGTAAAACGGATGGTTCTTCATCTCAGCCCTGCCCTGTTGGCTCTGTGGGCCCCTCATGGTCACGTGGTCCAGGTTCTCCTTCCAGACCAGCCTCTTGTCCGCCTGGCAGGGCCTGGCTCCTGGGAGCAGGTGAGGGGTGCTGCAGCAGAGGCCAGGCCCAGCCCTGAGGGAGTTCTGGCGCATGGGCGACCCTGAGCCTCACAGCTCGGGCGGAGTGAGCCCCAGTGGGGGGGCTCTCCCCAAGCCTCTCGTGGGCCTCCAGCTCCAGCCCCACTCCACTGGCCTCAGAAAGAACTCGGGTCATCTCTCATGCCCGGCCTGAGGGCCAGCCCCAGGTGCTGGGCCGGGAGCCCCAGAGCTGCTGCCACACGGGGTTCCATCAGGACGTGAGGCGCACAGGCAGCGAGCACCCTGCTAAGCCAGGAACTTCCTGCGTTCCCAGCAGCGAGGGCTGCCTGGGATTCGCCTTCGTGGCAAGAGGTGGGCGCTTGTCCACCTGTCCCTCACTTGGGTTGGGTGGCCACAGTGTTTGGAGCTTGCGACGAGGTTTGCTTTCAGGCAGGCCATTTACCTCCCCGCACCAGAGGTGTGGCCAGGCGCGCCCGGGGCTCGGAGCTCGCGGCCCCCGGGCCTTGCTGAGCCCGGCGCAGCTCCTCGCCTGCCCGGGCTCCAGGCCTTAGAGCTGCGCGGGCGTCAGGCAGGAGCCACCGTAGCCTGGTGGCGCTGTCCCCACAGGCAACAAAGGCTTTGTGGAGGGAGCGCCTCTGCTGTCCAGGCCTGGAGCCCTGCCCGCTGCCCCACGCCCCAAGGTCCCTGCAGGCCGCCTTCCCCCTCAGCCGGCTGGTTCCTGCGGGGCCCTGAGTGGCAGCCCCTTCCCTCTCCTGAGCATGCTGTTCTTGCCCCGGGCTGGACGGAGGGAGGTGTAGCAATGAGGCGCGGCTTCGCAGCTTCGAAGATTCAAGGGGTCTGACAAGCCGATAGCCCTGTCCCTTGGTCCCACGGCCGCCGTGGTAGCAGGCAGAGGGACTTCCCGCTGTCCTCCGGGCTTTGGTGGGGCTCCAGAGGCCCCGACACTGACACCTGCTATTCCTTCCAGGCTGGGGCCCCGCTTGGCACCAGGCTGGGTGTGCCTGTGTCATCCTAACCAGGATGCAAACCTGCTGGACTGGCCTGGCAGGATGTCAGCGTCAGCCCCAGGCAGGCTTGCTGTGTCCCTTTGGAGTTTGTGGACTAGGGTGGATAACCCAGTGTCTTGGGTCACAGCGTCACTCAACAGTGCAGAGATGTGTCGGGGTCTGCTGGCAGGTCCTGTATCAGGAGTCAGGGAGGTCTTCAGGGATCAGAGGCCAGCTAGGACCCAGCAGTGCGCACCCCCAGCCCAGTGGGGTCAGCCATGGGGGGCCCCTTCTGCTGCCTGGGTGGTTGGCGAAGGGGGCAGCGCAGGAGGACAGGAGGCCCTGCCCTGCCGCCAGCCGCGCCCTCTGGCAGTGTTAGCCTGGTCCCAGGGGGAGGCTGCACAGGGGATGGTCCTCGGCGGGCGGCAGGCAGGGCCTGCGGTGGCAGCGAGCTCTTTAATGACATATTTAAGCCCAAACCTCAATGCTGCCTGCAGCCATTTCTGAGCCACTTCCTCTTGGAGGACTGTTCTGGGAAAGCCTGTGGCCTGTGGGCAGCACCTTCACCTGTCCTGGGTGATCTGGGGCCTCTATACCTGGCATTGCTGGGGTATGAACAGGACTCCCTAAAAGGAGACAGTGTGAGGGTGGCAGGTACAGATCCACCCCCTGGTCACTCTCGGCCCCTGCTTGTCCCAGCCTTGGAGAGAGGGTGACAGGGGTCAGCTGGGTTCCAGGCCTCACTCTTACCCTGGGAGAGAAACTGAGGGCTGAGGCCACCCACCGGTGGCCCTCCGTGGCCCCGCCCCGCCCTTCTCCCCATGAAGCACCATCCCCCAAGGCCACGCACCCACCGCTGCCTCCGCCTCAGATCTGGCCGGGACACTGCGGGGTGCTACCAGGCCCCTGTCCACCCTACCTGCCCCACCCCAGGGCGGCCCGCCCAGGGCTCCTTGAATCCTGATGCCCAAGGGTGAGTGAAGCTCCGGCTGAGGCCCTGCCCCCACCCCCTCTGCCTCACAGGCCTACTGTGAGGTCAGCAGCTTCTGGCAAGTTCCGTCCAGAGGTGTGTGGTGGGGCTGGGGCTGGACATGGCCCCCTGTCCCCAGCCTGACTCCCGCCTGGTCGGCAGCCCCCTTGGCCTGATATGTTTGTCCCTTTTGCTCATCCCTGCTGCAGGTGCCTCCTCCTGTCCCCGAACCCTAACCCCAGCCAGGGACCCTCCCTGCCCAGGTGGGCCAGGCGCCCCATGTCCTGGTGGCCACCGGGGTTGGGGTGGCCCTGGGGGTCCTTGGATGATGACGGCCCCTTGGCCGCACGGGCCCTGTTTCTGCAGCCGGAACCTACTGCGAATGCAGCCTGGGCCTCAGCCGCGAGGCTCTCATCGCCCTGCTGGTGGTGCTGGCAGGCATCAGCGCCAGCTGCTTCTTCGCCCTTGTCATTGTGGCGGTTGGTGTCATTCGAGCCAAGGGGTGCGTGAGCCCCAGGGCTGGGATGGGTCAGTGAGGGCCGAAGGGCCATGCTGCTTGCCCTGGGCCCTCAGTCTGGACAGAATAGGGGCCTCTGCACCCCACGGGGAATGTCACCAAGGGCTTGGGCAAGGCATTCCCAGACTGTGGGCTGAGGAGAGGTGTGAGGGGTGCTTCTGGAATCCTGTTGTTCCAGGATTCACACCGGCCTTTGTCCCCCCAGTGAAACATGCCCCGGACACATGGACAGCAGGTGAGTGACCCTAGGGGAGGACCCCAAGTCCTCCCTGTGCCCCTGCTCCCTGGCCCTGGGAGATACGGTTCACAGTGCATCAGGAGCACCGACCGGAAAGCCCGGCCGCCCTGGGTGGCCTCATGAGCCTCTGCAGTTGGTTGCCCACAGCCAGCCCGACTCGGCCCCTGTTGTGCAGATTGGTGGAGAGCTTTGGGGTCCAGGAAGATCGCATGGATCTGCGAACAGTGCATGTAGAGTCCCACCTCGTGGACCCTGACCTGGAGGTCTCCACGATGCCGCCCCTGGAGGATCAGGGCCTCATGACCATCCCCATGGACATGATGGCTCCATCCCTGAGTCCAGAGGAGCCGCCCTTGCCTCCCCCACCTGACTAGGGCTGCAGGCAGCCGGGGGAAGGGAAATTAAACAGTATTTGGTGCTTCTGCGCTGTCCCCCTCCCAGAGCCCCTGGGCAGCTGCCTCGCAGGGTGGGGGAGGAGTCTGTGAGCACCTGTGTCATCTCCTTTCTCTCCCCTCCCGTGGGGGCTGTGCAATGTCCTGCCAGGCACCCGCTGTGTCCCCTCCGGGGCCAGAGCCACACCCCGCTGTTGCCACTTCCTCTTGCAGCGCCCTTGGCCCAGCTCTCTGCCTTTGTCTCTGTCCTGCTTTGTCCCACGAAGCCGGGCCCCTACTCGCCTCACCCCCACCCTCAGAAATGCCAGGACAGGACCTGCAACTCTGGCCTCACAGGAAAGAGCAGCATTTGACATGAGGGCTGGCACTGGTGCCCCTTGCCCCACCGACACTGTCCTTGAGGTTCCAGGCGAGTCCTTGGGGGGAGGAGGGGCAGACAGGACTGCGCCTCCCTCCTCAGGTGTGCAGTCCGGCCCTGCACAGCTTACTTGTTCCTGCCTCCACCAATCATGCACCATGGGGGTGGCCCATCCCTAGATCAGGGGATGGGAGCACTGTGTACGTGCACTGGGGTCACCTCTCTGAGCCTGGGACAAGCCAAGACCGGGTGAGGAGCAGGCGCACTGGGTCCCACTCCATGCGTTGTATGTGGGTGGTGCGTGTGGTCCAGCTGCTCAGGCCTCAGTGGGGGCTCGGGATGGTGGACTACTCAAGGGGCAGGGACCCGGAGCTCCAGGACAGGTGGCTGGCAGCACTGGGCGCTGGCTATGTGCCCAGCCCCCGCCCTAGGCGGGACCAGCCATGGGACGGGAACTGCTGGCGCTCGGGCCGAGTTAACATTTGCGCCAGCGCCTAGAGACGGACAGGCTCCAGGGACACACGGGCAGCAGGTCTCCCACCGCGGGTTCCACAGCTGCCCCCATGCTGAGTCTCTCCTTTCTCTCGCGGCCGCTGTTGCTGCTGCTGCTGTCGTCGTGGCCGGTCCGGGCTCAAGAGCCCGCCGCGGCCACC